TGGCCCTAATGGACTTAGGATTACTGTTAATCTGGGACTCCTAGTGGGATTAGGATAAACTCTCTAAGAGTCTTATCTTTACCCAAACTAAAGTCTTCTCCCAATCTAGGACTCTTGTCCTCATCCAAGTTGAGTTCCCTCTTCATTCTAGGACTCTTGTCCCTCATCCGCTTATCTCGGATTCCGATATCTTCGGAGGCAACCTCGGCCTAGCCGAGATGACCTCGGCATAACGACCAAGACACGTGGCACCTTATTTACCAAAATGCCATAGAAGTGGGCCACTTTCTTAAGTCTTGTTAAAGCTTATGTGTTACATTATTTTGTTCATTCTTGAGACCCAAAACCGAAAGAGAGAGAGTGTGTCTTGGAAGAAAAATTGAGTTCACTTAATTTAGCTTGGAGACTTGAAGATTTTGAAGAGTAGATTGCATAATTGAGCTTCTAGACTTGAACTTGAGGACATAAGGTAGGATATTCATCTTCTTGATTATGAATTCCAGGTATACCTTGCATGGTTAATGAGTCTTTAGTGATCTAAGTCTAGAATTGGTTCTAACATATTGAATTGAAGCTTAAATCATGCATGCATGTATACGTTGTTAAGTTTTGAGGTTGTTTTCATAGAATCCTCACATGCATGTCCATATTCTAGCTTTGGTCCATGAATTCATCATGTTTTTGAAAGGATTGGCTCATTTGTTCTTGTATTAGAAGCTTTGAAGTTGATTAAATCATGTATGTTGCATGTACATCATGTTATTGAAGTTTTGTTTGGAAATGGGTTCAATTGAACTACCTTTGGGTTTTGATTTTGCAAATTGATCTTTGAAACATGTCATATTATGAGTTTTAAAGTGTTTTCCAGAAAATTAGCCCAAAATAATCGAATTTGATACTTTAAATGTTGAGTTTCATGCTTGGAGACAAATCTGGAAATTCTAGATTTTGAATCCACGCTCGAGCGAGGAACTTCACGCTCGAGCGTACACTCTGAGTTCATGCAGTCTGCTTGAGCGAATAAAGTAACGCTCGAGCGTGAAATGAGTGTATCCAGTACTTTGCATGTGTTTACAGTCCGTTCGAGCGAGGGAATGCACGCTTGAGCGAGGACTTGTGTCTCACGCTCGAGCGGGGGTCGAGCGCCCCATCGAGCGTGAATTTTATGCATCCAGTACTTTTGCAGTCCGCTCGAGCGAGGAAAGTCACGCTTGAGAGGAGCTCCTTTGTCTGCATGTCCGCTCGAGCGTAGAAAGCCACGCTCGAGCGAGACCCCTGTTTTCTGAAAATTTTGAAAGTGTTTCAAAGTGTATTTTTGCATCCTCATTCCATCCTAGGCATTCTTAGGCCTAGTTTAAGGCATCTTAATGAGGATAATGCTATAGAACCACACCGAGTCAAGATAGGGACTAAGTTATTGTTTCCCAAACATGTAACTTAGTGTGTGTTCATCCTGTAACTGTGTAGGATTGGCATTCGAGGACGCTCACTAGCCTATCTGTAGCCCAGAACTCTGTGAGTAACAATGTTGTAAAGATATATTCAATTATGAATATTTTCTGAATGATCAATTGTACTGCTTTCTGAAATGATATTTCTTACTGAATGAATACTTGTCCTATTTGCGAACTGTATTCGTGGCATCCATAGCAATTTACTATTATTGTACTGTATTACTACTGTCACAGAGATCTCTGTCGGTTCCCATGTTTGGAACCACTACTGTTTACTGATATGATGGCCATCAATTGACTGTTCGGTCTGTTAAGACCAACTGTACTGTTTGCTATTGGATGTATCACTTATGACTGCTATGATCGAATAACTGATATACTGTTCAATTGACTGTTTTAAATACTGGAAGAACATTCATTTCTAACCTCTTTACGCATATGTTATTCACTGGGTTTTAGCTTACTGTTTATATATATATATGTAGGTGTCCAAGCACCGGATCGGAGCTAGGAACGTTGGGTTAAACTCCCTTTTTGTCAAGCCAACCAACGTGTCTCACTGCGAGGTTCCAAGTGTGTCAAAGCCAACGCTGCTTCGGGGTGTTTTAGATTCCCCATTCCCGTCTCTGTTTTGTATAGACTGTATAGACTTGTACTGTACTGTTATGGTTGGGATTTGCTCCCTAACCTGAATGCTTGTATATATATATATATATGTATATACTGTTTTGGTTCTGAATGTGAATATGTATGAAAAGTCTTTTTGCATGCAGACTGTCACAGCTCATTGGACATCTTTTATTACTGTTTTGACTTCCGTCAGTCCTTGTACTCTGTATTACTGTTATTACTGTTAAGTAGGTATTCGGTAATCACGAATTACTGGCCGGTTATGGTGCTAAATCCATAGGGACGGGTTTGGGTCGTGACAGTAAGTCATGCTAAAAGGAGAACGAATATGAAAAGAGAGAAGATATTGGAGTAATTGTAGAGGGAAAAGAGCGAATGAAGTGAAAGATGATTGAATTTCAACAGATATGTTTGGACTATCCTTATAAACTTAATAATGTCCATACAAACTGATAGTTTAGATTGTGGGATTTAAACGGAATTCAAAGTTAGATTTATGGGTTGAACGTCCAATATAAAAACATCTTCAATCGTTCATTATTATTTTTATTTATTTTATTTTTAAATTTGAATAAAAAATTTAATTTGATATGAATTATTTTAATTTTTTATTAATTTTTTTATAAATGTTTTTCAAAATCATTTATCATACATTATCCTTTTAAGTTTTCATCTAATTTAATTTTAATGAAGGATTTAGTAAATTTTCAATTTAATTTTTTATGAAAAAAGGAAAATTACGGGAAAAAAACTATAGGGTTTGATTTTTATGACAAATTAAATTATTATTTTTTAATTATGTCAATTTAAACCTGACACTTTTAATTTGTTTTCAATCTAAACTATTTGATTATTTTTGATAAATAAAATTGATAAAAAATAGTGTTTAGTCATTATATTCAATGAAAAAGTAATATTTTAGACGTTTTATATGTGTTGTATTGAGTTTAATGATTAAATTTTTTTTATTGGTTTTATTTAACAGAAATAGGAAAATGGCTTAAATTTAAAACAAATCAAAAAATTGGAATTTAAAATAACAAAATAAAAAATTCAAAATTTATTTTGTGACAAGACTCGAGGTATTTTTTTTTTTATAATTATATCAAAAATAAATTATGGATGGAAGTTCTAGGGATTGTTTGGTTTATTTTTCAAAAAAAATAGTCAGACTTTTTTTTAAAAGAAACTAATATAATAAAAATAAATATAAAAAATATTTAAAAATTTTTTAAAATTATTTTTGGTATCCTAAAAGATAAATTTATATAAAAATAATAAGTATTTTTAATTTTTAATCTTTTTACTACCAAATTAATTTTTAATTTTATAAAAATATTTATTGAAGAAGTTTATGAAAATCAAACAAATGTGATCCTAATTTTATTGTTAAAAGGATTAAGAAAAAAATTATACTTCTTAAACCCCCTTATAATTATAAAGTCTTGCATAAAGGACAAAATTTATTATTTAAATATTTTTTCAGACTATTATACCCTCAACTAAATCTTCCCACCTTCTCCACCCACTCTCTCTCCACCTTCTTGGTCTCTATGACTCTGGCTAGCCAAAATCGAGTTCATCCAAGCCTAAGATTCATTCAATCTTTGACCTAGAACAGTGACCTGGTTCAAGCAATCACAATCTGACCTGCGTATTTGAATTGAAGCTTAGTTTGAAACTTTAATCTAATTTGCGTTTGTTAAGAAACCAAGGACTTCATCGCAAAATTGATCCGATTCGACAATCAACCCGAATTCAAGCTTCTGGAACTCGCGATTACGAACTAGAGTCCTTCGCGATCTGACATTGGGTTCTCTCTTGTGACTCGTTGTTCTTTGAGTCAACTTCGATGGGAACTTTGGATTTCAAGTTCTAATTGGAATTGCGATTTAGTTTGCATCTGGCTTAAAGGTTGCAAACTCTAAGTTCAAACGACTTGCAGATCGACTTCGTTAACTGAATTGAAATCAAACTTGTGTTTGCTATCTTGAATCGAAATTAGACTCAATGTGAAACTTCTATTGCAATTTGAAGATCCATCGAGTTCGCAATGACCACGTGGAGAAGAGTGCGGGTGGAGTTGTTAGGTTATACATATTTTTTTAAACACAGATTTGAGTTTTGAATATATGTATATATATATATATATATATTTGTGTGTATGAGTGTTGTTGAACACATGTATTCTTTTCATTGAGATTTGTGATTGTTGATCGAGTTTTAGAAGTTTTTCTTCTCAATTAGATATGTTGATTTGTTGATTAATTTGTTTTGTTTTTGTTTGTTTGTTTATTTTTGTTGTTTTGTATCTAATTTCATTTGACAGAACTAGAGTAAAATTTTACTCTAGTTCTATTGCTATGCTTTTTTCATTTGACAGAATCAGAGTAAAATTTTTCTTTTATACAGAGTAAAATTTTACTTTTGTGTAGAGTCTAACATTTTACTCATTTTTCAGAGTAAAATTTTACTTTTATACAGAGTAAAATTTTACTTTTAGTTTCAGAGTGTAACATTTTACTCTTATTCAGAGTAAAATTTTACTTTCATATAAAGTAAAATTTTACTTTTAGTTTCAGAATGTAAAATTTTACTTTAATACAGAGTAAAATTTTACTTTCATACAGAGTAAAATTTCACTCTGAAATATATAGTGAAGATGACTTAATAAGAAAGCTGATAAATATAAGGGTAATATAGTAAAAGAAATAAATTTTAAAATATTAAGAAATTTTAAAAATACTTATATAATTCTTATCCTTTTAAAAAACAAATTAAATAGCGAGGGCCTATCACCGAATCCCCAATTTTTTTTAGCCACAGTCCATATACTTCACCCAGCAAAAGGAAAGCAGGCGTTCACGACAGAGAGAGAGAGAGAGCGACAGAGAGAATCACAGTTTTGAAGAAAAGCGCTTCACAGACATGGATGAAACCCTAAATTCATCGGAACCACAACCCTCCGACGATCCTATGGACGAAGCCGAACCCCTTCCTTCTCTATCCAAATCTCAAAACCCTAAGCCCACTTCCGACACTGATTCCGATTCCGATGACTCCGACTCCGGTGACGAATCCCAACAGACCCTCCAAATCGAAACACTAGAAACCGAGCTTTCCAACAACCCTGTCAACTACGACTCTCATGTTCAGGTACTCACTTACTCCCCATTTTTCTTTTCTTTTCTTTTTGTATTGATTTTCTATATTGATTATTGGGACCTAAGGCTTTGTTCGGTTTATATGTTTTTTTTTTGGTTGACAGTACATAAGAGTTCTGAGGAAAAAGGGGGACATTGAGAAGCTACGAAAGGCAAGGGAGGCCATGAGTGAATTGTTTCCACTCAGCCCTGCAATGTGGCAGGAGTGGGCTAAAGATGAAACCTCTCTGAGTTCTGGGTACTGTGTTTTATGCCCATTTATTTAATTTTCTTTGTTGTAATCATTGCATTTTGGATGTTTATGTGTGTATATATGCAATATCATATGTGCCTGTCATAACTTTTTAGTTGCTATTATGTTTATCAGATATCAGGGATTTGTAAGAATGGTTCTCATGAATTTTCGTGTGTGATTTATGTATTTTTGTATCCCTGAGTACCCTATATGTTAAATACAAGTCTTCTACATTTTCTTAAGGTTGTGTTTGGTTCATTGATTTGGGTAGGAATTTGGAAAGGTAAAGGGAAAATGTATGTGAAATGTAGTTCTATTTTATTCACATTTTCCTGTCTTTTCCCTTTCCATCTTCAAATCCCTACCCAAATCGTATAAAACCATAGAGTATTTCATAATTGTTTTAGAATTTTCTGCCGAAGACAATTCCTCACGAGCACTTGCTGTTGCAAAATACTCGACATGCCACTTAGTTTCTCGATGTCTATCTTGTGCTACTTCACCAACTCATTTTATATACAAAAATGTATTAATGGAGCAAGCCATATTGACGGCCTTCTAGACAATATATATATACACATATCAATTGTCATACTCTTGCCATTTATTGTACAACACTGTCAATAGTAGGAAGAGTGATAGCAAGATGCCTATGGGCATCAATATTTTTCTCCGTGGTGTAGACAAGGATTGTATATTGTGCCAAAAAAGAGTTGTAGCGTGGAGTAGTTATGCATAAAAAACAGAAAATTAAAATTTGTTTGGAATAAAATACCATCCATGTACACAGTGCTCTGATATTCTACTACCAATCACTCTCTTTGTTGAATATTTCAATTAGGAAGGAGATAACAAGGACAACTACAAGCATATATACATAGATTGGGAGAATATAGGATACTTTATGCTAGAGGAAGGCTTAGGCTGTCAAGCATTTGGTCTTTATCTATGACAAACAAATCTCTCCTCATGAGTCATCATGCAATTACTTGGTCGAGAGAAAAGGAACTTCTGTATATATACTTGGTGGGAGTCCTAGATTGACAAAATACTGAGAAAAATAATAAAGCCTCCAAGTTAGATTTGTAATTTCCTTTGTTGTCCCATTCGTTTTTAGGCCAAAAACTAGGATCACATTTTTTTTTTTTTGTTGTGGTTTTTATTTTTTTCTACTAGAATTTTCGACATGACACAATAATATGACTCAAACCGTACACGAAGTTAGCGGGTTAGGGATGACCATTTCCCAACACAAACATGTATATGACATGACCTAATAACACCAATATTAAACATGTTGGGTTAGTGAGCGTCGAACATGCGCAACACAAAGTTGATATGGATAACCCATATAATAAAAAACTAGTTACAAATTTTAATATTATTTCTACTAAGGCGTTCTATGACATTTTTGAATCTCTTATGTAAGTCCATCCAACTTATTAAAAAGTATGTAAAATAGGATTTTAAAACTAATATAAGTCTTATTTTTGTTTTTATTTGAAGATATTATATTTTTGGTTTACTATTTGAGTTAATGTAATGACATAAATATAATAATAGGATATAGTTTTTGTAAATTAAGAAAATAAAATTGAGTTGAAATAAAATATTCTTATAAGTAATTTCATTCTATAAAGATTAGTTTCATTAAATTGAACTTGCGAAGAAAAATTTTCATTTTTTTCAAGCACTTTATATTTTTATCTAATGTCGAATTTTTTTGACATGACATGTTAACATGACATGAGTTGGACATGGACTAAAAATGACACCACACGATAATATGAAATAATAAACGGGTTGAGTTAATGTTGAGGTAATTTTAACACGAACCTGAAATAACACGACATGAACCTAACCCAACACAGCATGACGCTCACACCTAGGCTATGAGCTTCTTCTTGTTTTGGGTAGGATCTAGGCTAGTGTGCCATCCTTTGTATCCAAACATAAACAACAATGACACTAAAAGAAGTAAAACTATTGTAGGGCAAATTGTAGATCCACATTTGTAGAACCACAAAGCTGAATGGTAAAAGATGATGAAAGAAGAGATTGCTATTAGATTATCATGCCCCCTTCCCGTTTGTATTACCATGAAACATGTTAAAAATTTAAATCTGGAATGCTCATTTTGCTTGCTCTATTTGGCAAAAATTGGCTCTATAGATGTGCTTCATATGTGGAGAATAGTAATTCATTTTTTTCTTTTTTTAAATATTTTTTTTGTATGAGTAATAGTAAATAGGGATTCATGCAACTGAGGCCAAAGATGCATGTGGAATCTTTTTGTTTGGTTGAGTCTAGGGCTTAGTTGCACGAAGCGGGGGCGGAGGCGGGAGCGAGGAAGCGTGAGTCGATAGAAGTTTCTTAGGTTGGGAGCGCCTCGGGGAGCGGTAATATATATATATATATTTTAATACACATTAGAAGTTTTTTTATAAATATTTTTATTTTAATACACATTAAATATTTTATTTATTTATTATATTTTTTAAATAATTTATTTTAGATAGTTAATTTATTTTTTTATTTTTAATTGATCTATATTATAAATAAAAAATTATAATAAATAAGGAATAATAAATTATGATAAAATAAACAAAAAGAAAAATTAGATATTTTATTTTATAATTTTTTTATTATATATGATTTTATTTTATAATTTTTTTATTCTATATGTTAATGTTTAGGATATTGAGAATATTAAAAGTATAAAAAAATAAATAAAAGATGTAAAATGATTTTTTTTATTACTAAAAACAAAAAAAGGTAAAAAAAATAAAAATAAAGAATAAAAGAGGAAGAGAGAGACAACAACGAAGAGGGAAGAGAGAGGAGTCGAATAGAGGGGAGGAACAAGAGAGACGAATAGAGAGAGAGACGAGACAAAGACGAAGATGAACACAGAGAGAGAGAGAGATACGAAGGATGAAGGAGACGACGACGAAGAGCATCGAACAGAGGGAGAGAGTCAAAGAAGATAAATAGGTTTGACTTCGACGATGAACAGAGGGAGAGAGATAGTCGAACACACATAGATTGGAAGAGCATACCTTGATCTAGTCTCGATTAGGATTTCAACAGGTTTTTCTCCTTTTCTTTTCTCTTTCTCTGTCTTCAATGGGTTATGGTTTCTGTCTGTTTTCTCTTTCTCTGTCTTCAATGGGTTAGGGCTTCTCTCTGTCTGGGTTTCTAAGTTGTTTTATTTCCACCAACGATCCCATCTTTGACAGAGTCGCGTTTCTCTCTCTACAGAGACGCGATTCTTACACGTTTCTTTCTAAGAAACGCGGAATCGCGTTTCTTACGAAGATTCGTCACCTGGTTGCATGATTCCTGCAAGGTCTAGGGAATTCAAGATTGATTTGTTTGCTTTAGATGGATTCTAGGATTTGGCTAGATGGCCAAGAGTTGCTAGGACTTTATTTACTTCTCTTTCATATATCTTTCCGTCTTTCTTTTATTTTTTTAATTTTTTAATTTTCCTTTTTTCTTTGGGCGAATTACACTAACAGTCTCCGTAGTTTGGGGTTTGTGTCGCTTTTATCATTGACTGTTCAATTGTGATACATTTGACTTTGAATTTTGAATCCTGTTCCAAACAAGGACAATCAAAGATGTTTTCTTTGCAAATGGCCCATTTCAAGGGTAAAGTCGTCATATAACTTATTTTGTGTTGGTTAACTTGTATGTTGTTTGAAATGTAACGGTCTTTTTTTTTTAATAAATAATGTTGCCACTTTCTTGGTTATAAAATTCTGTTTGGTTTAGTTTTCAGAAATTTTTTCTAATCTAAAAATTAAATTGGTGAAAAAAATAAAAAACACATCATTTTATATAATTTTTTCTTTTGGTAGGGAGAAATAATTTTTTTTGATATCTATTTTCGTTAAATTAGTTTCTATTTTTTTCAAAAGTCAAACATGGTGACAACTTTGATGTTATTATTAAACCAATCCATTAAATCAAAAAATCCAAAACTAAAAATATTTCATATATTAAATATATCGATTACACATTAAAAGCCTAATAACTATCTATTACATGATAACCATCCAAAAATACTTGTTAATAACAAAAACAACCATCTATTACATGATAACCATCCAAAAACATCAACAAAAACAATCATCCATTACGTGATCGTCATCCAAACACGTACTAAAAAATTAATTTGGTAAACAAATAAAAATATAAAAATGTAAAAGATTTATCATTTTTATATAATTTTATCTTTGGTGAGTAGAAATAAATTTAAAAAATTTAAAAATAACTTTTTGACATTTATTTTTCTCAAACCAGTTTATATTTTATCCAATTGACAACTTTGCCCTTGAAGTGGAGTATTTTCTATTTGCAAAGGAAATAGTGTCTTCAATTGTCCTTATTTGGAACGAATTCAAAATTTAGGGTCAAATATATCACAATTGAAAGGTTAGGAACCGAAGTGACACAAGTCCCAAGCTATAGGGACACAAGTCCCAAGCTATAGGGACTGTTAGTGTAATTCACCATTTTTCTTTTAAATTTGCATGTCTATATGTACCTAGATTAGCACAAACACTTATATGAATTTGTTGTGTCTGTGTTGGATTGCACTTCTTGGAAGCCCATGGACATCTCTTTGACATTTCTTAGACAAGTCCATGAATAACTTTCATATTTTTAGACACTTGGCTTACAATTAATTAGTGCTTTTTAAAACATGAAAATTTGGTATGCGCAAATTGCTGCCGCAATGCAAGCATAGATGCTTTTCACTGTAAAAGGAGAGAAATATATATTTTAAGAGACTACCAACATACTTTATATTGTTTCATATTTTGATATCTCTAGTTTCATCTTCTACTTTATGCAAATGTTAATTAGAAAGTCAAGAAACTATTAAAGTTTATATATCTGAAAAATATTTCTATATTGTTAGTTTTCCTGCCCCCCTTTACTTGAATCTGCAGTGTCCTCACATTCAGGATGTGCAAGTGTCATGCTACTTAGCTATTTGTTTGTTTGTTTACCTGCCTATCTTCCCATCTAAATTTCTCCTGCTCAAAATGTTGATCTCTTTTATGCAGGTCATTACCATGGAGTCTCTAGTTTCTTCGAATGATTTTTTTAATGAAGTTGAGTCTAGCTTTTGTGATAATTATTTTTTTTGTAATTCATCTAATTGTCTAGATCTCAGGCTTTTCATGGCTTGTTATTTTGTTCATGATTTAGGTGGTGATTGGCTTACTCTCTTTATTGTTTAGGAGGTAATCATTACTCTATTTATTGTTTATAAGGTAATCACACATTATTTATTTTCTTTTGTTTTGCAGACCGGAGTCTTTTCCTGCTATTGAGAAGCTTTATGAGCGTGGTGTCTACAATTATCTGGTTGGTTCTAGTTCTTATTATAAACTAATTTTTGGTTCCTTCAATGTGAAAAGTAAAAAAGAGAAGGTTAAAGAAAATACATAAAAAAAGAAAAGTATAGGGTAAGAGACGTTACAAGAATGAAAGTATGCATTTAAAAATGCAGTTTCTCCATTGTATGTTTATTCTCCATGAAATGATATTACGTGATGGGGAAAAAAGATTAGAATTTCTTAAAAAAGAACAAATAAGAAGAGTAAGGTGAAGATCTTCCATCATTGTAAGAAAGAGGAACCACAACGAAAGAAGGAACAAACTAGAGCTATCTAAGAAAGAAGATGGCTTTTTATAATTGTCTCATAATAGAAGCCCCTTTCTTGACTTAGAAACTTCATTGTATGGATAACGAGGTCTGTGAGTTCTTAACCAACTTTGATCTAGAAAGTTGGAGTGGGTTGTATCTTTGCATTAGTGCAAATATCTGACAAGATCTTTTAATCTATTCTTCGTGCACAAGTTTATCATACATCTGTCACCTGTTATTCTGAAGTTGATAAATTCTATAACTTGCTGTTCTATGCCTAATTGGAGTAGAAAAGCTTTTGGATTCAATTGAGTCCCTAACACTCGTTAACTTGGGTACAATAAAGGTAATAGTTAAGTGGATTGGGATCTGGTGTGTATAGTGAATTTTGGGCTTTTCCATTATGCGTTTTTGGTAGGTGGATCGTGAGATGGGGAATGAATAGATAAACTTGTGATGTAGGGTAGTGAGGGGAGGGGTTAAGTATGGATGTAACTTGGTGGGAATGGATATCACTTGAAGTGAAATGGAAAAGGTAATTGTTGAGTTTGAGGGAAGGCTATATGAAGGGGTTGGTTGAATTTTTATTACATTAGATTTTGGGGTCTTTTGGAAAGTGGGTTATAATCCACTTCCCAGATTATAATCCACTTCCCTCTCTCACAAGAAGCTGATTATAATCAATTTTTAATCAGCTTTTAACCAAAAAGCTGATTATAACCATCTTCCCAAAATAGCCCTTTGTGTTGGGGGGCATGTGAATTTGATGAGCTTTTGGATGATATTTCATTTGTGGAGCATGCCTTGAAAGAGGTTTGAGCTCTTTCCATTGGCAATAAACAAGGATGTTGCCTTGCAAGCTCTTTGTTCCTTGAAAATGTTTCGGGATTTCTAGTTTTTTTAGGCATTGATTGATTGGGATATTGAAGTAATGGGGAGATTCTTTGAGCTATCATTGTTGTTAGTAACATATACCTTGAAGGAGTTAAGTAGTGAACCTAGTGGTAGATATGACATAAGCTCTTTTTGTAAGGTGCTCTTAATGCATTGATTGGTGGCTTTTGAGCTTTGGTAAAACTTTGTACCATTATTCCTGGTTCTTTTTGTTATTGCGATGTAATGACAAAGTTTGTCATGGGTGACAGAAGAAAAAGGGCTAAGCTTAGTTGGATGTGGTGCTCCTTTGCCTACATGGATGTTTTGTTGGTAAGGGTTGGAAACTTAGGATGGTAAAGAGTGTCTAGTTCGTAACTTGAACCAGTGATGCTTAATTATTTGTTAATGGGTTTTAGGAGTGTATATAGTTCCAATTTTTATCTCACTTATTATTTAGGGGAATACAAGTTGTCTCTGTTATTAGAATCTTACGATTTGATTCATGATTTGATTTGCAATTTTTGCAAAATTGATATGAACCTATGGGTGAAGTTATTTTGGAAGTGAATTTTTAGTGAATTGCACGATTCACAATCGATTCACGATTCGATTCACTTTTTACGATTCATGTTATTTTTTAAATTATTGTGTCGACATATTTTCAATTCTTTTTTTCTCCATCTTTTTGGTGAAAATGACATAATACAACTTCAAATAGCGTTTAATACCAAAATAATCAACATATATGTATGATTTGTTGTTATTTTAGTGATTATATAATTTTTAATAAGATCCAATCAGATTTAGTTAGACCCAACATATTTTTAACCTTTCTTCTCATTTTTTTTCCTTTAAAAAATCATAATATATCTTCTAAAGATGTCTAAGATTAAAGTTTACACTATGAATTATCTATTGTTATTTTATTAAATTGAATATAATTGAATATTACATGTGTGAGGTCAATTATACTTTTTAAAATGTTTTAAGTTTTAAAATAAAAGATTCTAAATAATTATCATTTGCTCATTGTTACTTAGACAAGTATGTATACTTATTGTTCAAATATCAATATCGTTGTTAATTATTGTTATTTTGGAAATTGATAGTTTGTCTATTTGGTTATTATCTTTATTAAGAATGGTTGATAAGAAATATCTAAAAAAGAAAAAAAGGTAAGATGCTGATCTTACATAGGAACTTTTGTGAACTGCTTACCAATTAAACTACGTTATTATCATTCAAAATGACATTTTTATTGATTTAAGTTGAAATATTTCATATTCATAAGATATATTTAACATCTAAATGTGTAGATATATGTTTTTAAGTAATTTAGAAAAGTGACCGAATCTTTACAATTCACAATTCAATTCGATTTGCGATTCGGTATGAGGCCATTTTGATTCACGATACGAATCCCGATTTGACAACTATGTAAGTTGTAGATATAGTCATCATCTCTCTTTAATACTTTGTGCATACTATCCCCCTTCTTTCCCTTCCCAACCCTGAGATGCTTGTCAATGGATTTTTAACTTCCAAAAAAGAGAAATGATTTCTATATCTTTATAGGTACCATGCTTTTCAACCATATTCAACCTGATTTAATTGAAAATGGACTAATTTTTGGCAAAAATTGAAACTGTGTGTGAAGCTTCACTCCTGTAGCTTTTGTAATAATTTTTTTTAGTGCTTTCGACCAAACTTCATATTGATGTTTCTCAGAACTCTACAGTATTACGGCCAATAAAGAGGCAATGTATCTCTTGCTGATGTGTTAGATTGGAAGGAAATGACTGGTGTCTATTGTTTTTTTGCAGTCTGTCTCTTTGTGGTGTGACTATCTAAATTTTGTACAAGAACATGATCCGTCAGTTCGTGAATGTTCAGCTGTGGGTATTTTGAAGGCAAGGAACTTATTTGAGCGTGCTCTTCCTGGTGCTGGTTTGCATGTTGCTGAAGGTCATAAGATATGGGAAGCATACAGGGAGTTTGAGCAAGCTATCTTTTTCGCTATTGATGAGACTGATGTTGAGGTCAGAACGTAGTTCAGTAATATGTTGTCTTTTCTATGGCAATTTTCCTGTATACAATTCATTTACCAAATTCGTATATAGTATGGTAGCATAAGTTGTATTCCATTTGCAAACAATTCAATTGTTTAATGTATAGGTTCTATAGGATGCGAGTGGAATTTCCACTTCAGGTGGATCATGCGATGCAAGTTCTTTTGAACTGCACTAAAAGTATAATTGATATTATAATGTTACTATTTGTGTTTTTCTTTACCCGAAATTGTTGATAATAATACATATATATACACATGTGATTGAGGGATTATATCCAAAGTGGTCAGTGCTTTTCTTCATTTTTTATGGTTACTTTTTAACTATATTCTTCTTTTTGTAAGGAAGGAAAATTAAAAAAAAGCATCAAAAGGGAATGTTGCTCATATACAAAAGGTTCAATGATGATAACCTACACCAATCTATCAAAAGAAAGGTGTTGATGCATGAAATATTGACGGAAATAGGGTTTCCTATAATTGGACATTTCTTCTAAGAGATAGATTCCAAGTAGGGTCATGGCAGAGTTAACCCAATGGGATTTCCTATAATTGGCTGTATCCCTATTTTGTTTCTTGTATGATGTATATTAAATAGTACCTTGGGTTTTGCAGGGAAGAGAAAAGCAGGTTCAGCGCATTCGAAGCATATTCCACCGTCAATTGTCTGTTCCACATAGTGACTTAAGGCCGACACTACTTGCCTACAAGGCTTGGGAGGCGGAACAAGGGAATGTTCTCGACGCCAGCTCTAGTGACTTGGATGGAATTTCAGCTCATGTTGCCTCTGCGTACCAAAAGGCATTGGAGATGTTAAATGCTCGCGTTCATTTTGAAGAACAAATTTCTAAGAAGGATATACCTGACATGGAAAGGCTTCAAGAATACATGGTTTGTATCTGTTTATGCCATTGCATTGGTGCGAGATGGGTAAAATGCGGCAATAGTTTTTAATGATATTTAAAAGAAATAATGGAAAATTGCTTGAAAAAAGAGAATACAGTGATGGCCTAACACTTATAATCTGCCAGCTGATACTTTCACCAAACATCAAATGAGGAGTAGCAAAAGCCATCATTCTTCCAATCCTGCAAATTTTAATACATGTGATAACTCTTGCTTTGAAGGCACTTTGCCACAGATGCATACTTGCCGATTGTGAGATTAAATGAAGTCGGGAAAGCTATCTGTAACGTCTCCTCCCCATGCCACTATTTACTCCAACATTTCACCATCATGCCCATAGATAAATGCATATTCCCCAAAAAAATCATCCCAAATATTCCTAATAACCTACCGAAGCCCTTTGCCATACGATGTGGACACCTTGGGATCTGAAATTCCTAATAAAGGCTAAATGTGTCTTTGTAACTCAACAAAGCCTTATTGCAACTTCCCAGGGTCTGTTATGTGAAACTTTCTGTTCTGTTAAGCTCCATCTAGAGCCATAATCCTTCTTTATTTAGTCTATGGTCTTTGTTTCTAGAGGCTATGTATGTATATGCTTGCAAAAATTCGTTGACTATGCTCCTGTTGTCAGAATATACTTTCTGTCTAAACCTTGCTTTTGGTAATAGCATATGGACCATCTATTTGATTGATGTTATGTTTGTTTTATCAACAATATACTAGAAATAATGTTGGTGTCATGTTGTTGCAGGCCTATCTGAAATTTGAACAGTCTTTTGGAGACCCTGCTCGGGTTCAAATTCTTTATGAACGTGCTGTAACAGAATTCCCTATATCAAATGATCTCTGGCTTGATTATACCCGCTACCTGGACAAAACCTTAAAGGTTGACATTTGACTTGTTTCTCTTTTGTGCTTGGTTCTAGCAGTTCAATTTTGGTGATTATCAATCTCTTCATTCCAGGCTTCTAGTATCGTAAGGGAAGCTTATTCGAGGGCCACGAAGAACTGTCCTTGGATTGGTGAATTGTGGGTTCGGTACTTGCTCTGCCTTGAACGTGGCCGTGCTCCTGAGAAGGAGATAGCTGCTGTATGTGACGTGTTACCCTTTCTCCACAATGCCTGTTTGCTGAATGAGATTCAATTTGATTCTCCCAGAAAGGATATACAATTATATGTGACCGAAACTTGTCTGAAACTTGACTGAACTCTGTATCTTGGTTATTTGGATATTTGACTTTGCTCTAACAATGACAATTTAGTTATTTGGCTGACAAACAAATTCAATTATTTGCTGGTGTGGGGACAAATGCAGTGTAATGCATGACTATAGTTTTATCATATGGCGCTTCTTCCATGTTGGGACTTTGGGTTTGTTTCCTCTTGGGATCTTCAAAATGTTTTTCCCTCCTTGTATATTGGGTTGTGCTTTGCGAAACCATTTGTCCTTCTTGAAGGACGACTCATCCTTCCAAGCCCTTGGATTTTGTCTTTAGTATAAAAATATTTTATCTGTTTTTTCAATAAAAAAATGTTGCTCAAAATCATTCAAAAACACTATATTATGTTGTAAGAGCTGCCTTTAATGTCGCTTTGAAATTTTAACACTGGTGGCTGAGGGGAGAAACAAATAACAAATTGTTGGGTTAGGTGCATTTTGTCAACTCGGGGTTCCCTCAAAACCTCAAGTATTTGTACACTAAATCCAACACAACAATTCTTGCTTGTATTTTTGCTGTCATTCTACATTTGGTTTATGAAGTCGTACTATATTTCCGTGAGTGTCATGGACTCACCCACCTGGGCCAACCCCTCTTCCCCAGAATTCAAAAAAAGAAAAAAAAAAAAAAGAAAAAAAGAAGAAAACTACAGAAAATTCAACTTTACCCCCCTTCTCTTCGTTTCTCACTCAGTGTTACTTTATGTTAGCTTCATAAAAATGTGATTATATGGTTTCATGTCCAGTTTTTTCCCCCCATGATATTGTTTAGATTTTCTTTTCCATATTGTCTGGCCACTGTAAATTGATGCAATTTAATTTTCAATCTTTTTAGGCATTTGAGAAGTCTCTGCTGTGCACATTTTCAAGCTTTGATGAGGTATGAATATAATTCTGTCACTTCATTACATAGTTTATAACATTGTTAATCACAGGTTTCCAGCTTATGTAGGTTCGTTTGTTTTCTTATCACATCACATTTTTAAGGTAGCAACATTTTGTTTGTGAGATAGTATTATGGTAAGAGTTAATACGTGGATGTGCCATTTAAGTCATGTTAGATTTGGCCTTCACGTGGACATGTTTCAGACTTTCTTGGCCTCTAGTAACTTGGGCGTGACTGATGGGAGCTGCTGAGGGATATCAAAATCTTTAAAGAGAAGAGTAATAAGTTCAAGTGGATTAAATATATTCTACCATTTCATTGTTTCTTTAGCAATGGAGAAAAAATTTAATGTTCAAATGAACCTTTGTATGGTTGTTAGTTACTTTATTAATAAAAGGAAAAATGGTGTATAAACCAGGAAAAATATTCAATTTTTTTATTCTGGCCTTTTCTGTTGTATCTCATTTATAGAAAGAAAAGAACACAGCACGTAGCACACTTGGCACAAGACCAGTCTTATTTTGGGTTATCTGTTTAACTGTGTAGCTGTTCAAGTGTTCTATTTTCTTGTTTGATGCACACCATACAGGCATCCATTTGCACACAGAGGGAGGCACCTTGTATGTTTCTATTATGTAATGTTGATTTCATCTGAAGTTCCTTGTAATATAAAATGAGTAGAGTTGTCTTAGCCTCAATGTTGTTTGCAAAATACTTTTGAATCTTTTTTTGGAAGCTAGTGACAATGCTAATGTGACAGTGGAACTTTTTATTTTATTTTATTTCAGTACTTGGATATATTTCTCACTAGGGTTGATGGCTTAAGGCGGAGAATTGCGCGAGCTGGTGAAGTAGGGGATGCCTTGGATTATACTCTTATAAGGGAGACATTTCAGGTTTGTTCTTAATATGCAACTTCATGTTATAGCTGGTTCCTAGACTAGTAATCTTTTCATTGTTGGTAGAATTAGAGTTCGTCAAGTGGGCATGTTTTCCTAATGATCTATTAGAAATTGTTTTTTTCTTTTGATTTTTTTTATTATAATGTTTTAAATTATTATTATTATTATTATTGTGTTTCTTGCTTCGCAATGAACTTTGTCATGCATTATCATGATCTTCTTTAGGATAGCATATATGGCTGTCTACTACACCTTAGTAATTAGCATGCCAAGTCAACACACCTTGACAAACTCTCATTCCATGTACTTGGGATTGGCTACATTCGTCTTCTCTGGTAGGCTCTTTGTGAAGCATATCTTTGATCACAGCCTTAACCCACATTCTTTTCGGTCTTCATCTTGTCCTGAAAGCACCTTGGACATGGATTCATGCAGGCCTGAGTTGGTGCTTATAACAGGTAAACTTGGAAAAAGTATTTTTTGTGGTTTGACTAAAATCAACTTTTATGTTTTTTAGTTAACAGCGGGAAAAAAACTGATGAGACCAAATTTAGGAAGAAACTTCATTGAAGAGAAAAATCTCAATTAGAGATACAAGAGCTCTCAAGCTCACAAAATACATCCTCAAAATATCATAAATATGACTACTAAAAACCCAAATGGGCTAATGCCAACTAAAGCAACCTAAACATAGCTATCACTACTCTTATTACATCAAAAAACAACCGTGGAGTAGTGGCATTTTGTACTACAATTATCTTAGCTGTTCATCTTGACTGCTGCACTTAGAAGAGGATATTGAGGAATCCTGGTGCCAATTGTATAACAATTAGTTTGCTGATCTGAGTTTTGAATTGTTTGATAATTTTAAATTGTACCGTATAGTTGTGGTCTAGGGAAATTCGATTCGTTTCACCTGTTATGCATTTTATGTGGTGGCAGTTTTCTGGTTGTCCTTAATATGCCGCGAAGCTTACGTTGCAAAATATACAGAATGATCTTCTTTGATTTGTACTTGTTGGGGCAAGTATGCTGTTTTTTTTCCCAATACATTTTCTTACATGTTAATTGTTTATATTTCAGCGTGCATCTGATTACTTATCACCACACCTTAAGGGCACAGATGGTTTGTTGCGAATGCATTCTTACTGGGCGCGATTAGAGTCAAATCTGGGAAAAGATCTAGTTGCAGCTCGTGGAGTTTGGGAGAGCTTGCTTAAAATTAGGTTTGATCATCCCTCTTTGCATTTTGCAAAAAGTACCATTTCTTAACCTCAGTGCTTTATTGTTATGGTCTGTTTATTATAAAGTGGATCTATGTTGGAGGCCTGGCAAGGTTATATAGTAATGGAGATTGAAACGGGTTACATAAATGAAGCTAGATCCCTCTATAGGAGATGCTACAGTAAAAGATTTCCTGGGACGGGTTCAGAGGTATGTTTCTTGTTGCTTTCTAAACCTTTTTTAATCCTGCTATCTTTTTCTTTTTGTAGTTTTCTTCTGTATGAATAACTTGATCATATAGTCCCTAGCTTAACAATTGGGTATTACAAGCATCCTGCAGTGTTGTTATCTATCATATACATAAGTTAATCAATTTATTGGAAAATATTTTGTTAAATTGTAAATAAATAAATAATTGGGTATTACAAGCATCCTGCAGTGTTGCTATCTATCAAATACGTAAAATCAATTTATTGGAAAATATTTTGTTAAATTGTAAATAAATAAATAAAAGCATCGTTATAAAAAAAATAGAAGTATGTGTAATGTGTTTCAGGTATTTTATTTTAAACAAAAATATATTTGTTATCTTCCAACTAATCATCATCAAATCATGCACATGATGACATCCACAACATGACGTTACCAAGTATATGGATGCAACGGTATACATCCAACACACCAAATTACCAAGAAAGGTTCTACTTTAATTATTGTGTAATTGGTATAAATTATCACCTTCTGCAACTGTAATTACAATGATAACAATCATAGTTAGTAGTGGCTGGAAAATGAACATTAGTGATCACATCATTGCACCTGGAAGAGGGATAGGGGGAGTTGGAGTAGTTGTTTTCCTTTGTCATCATTTTTGTCTGATGTTTTAATTTGAAGATTGTGGGCTGTCAATTTCTATATGTATATTTTGCATAATTTATTCATCAATCCCTCCACATGATGCTGTATAGGCATTGTTCAATACAATAACTAGTGATTTTGGCTTTTGAACAAAGGTTTACTTAATTACATATATGGCATTTTGGATTAGATGATATCTTCCTTTCCTAAACAACAGAATCATTCAGGACATATGCCATTCGTGGCTACGCTTTGAGAGGGAATTCGGCACACTCGAAGATCTTGATCATGCTATACAAAAGGTACTATTTCCTGTTGCAGCTCCTTTTTTATTCTTCAAATATCAATTTAGCAGCTGTGCTGTTTTTGTTTCATGAAATTATTGCAATGCAATGGTTAAACTGGGTTTCTGATGTTTAGATTAGATGTAGAGAGCAATATTGACCATGAGTGACAGTAGATTGTCAATATCTATAATCTATCTTACAAGCATCCTATGCCCTTGAAAGTTACCATTATTGCGTTAATCTAGTGTGTGATATCTACATTAAAAAGAATATTGACTTTCTTTTTTTTCTTTTTCTTCCCCCTCCCCTCCGATATTCTATTTACCAAAAAAAAAAGAGTATCGATTTTATGTTATGACCTTGACTTTCACTTCCCATCTATAGGTTATAACTCCGCAAACACCACCGCCCTGTATGCTTTCAACTGTTATTACTTCCTTTTAGTATATCACAACCATCAAATCAGCAGATTAAGTTTAGGTACAAGCAAATCCACGACAATTTTATGTTCACATGTCACTCATCAAACTTATCACAGATGATAAAATATGGAGTCTTAATTTTATAAACCTGTTGCATCTTTTAGGAACTTTACCTTTGACAAAAGGAACAGGTCTTAATCATAGCTTCCTTGGTCATAGCTTCCATCCAGTGACTAATATCCATTAGATTTTCAGGGCCCCTAATTAGATTAAATTGCCACGAGAAATAATTATGTTTAGAAGAAAAACCTGAGGTAGCAAGATTAATCCTCTGTGGTGGATTTGTAGGACAAAGACAGTTGTGTTTATCAGGAAATGGTGAGGTGGTTTAACCATAATTTGGGGAATCAGTTAGTGGGCCAAATTGAAATAGGCACATCTGGTAATAAACTAAGTGAACCAATAATAGACTGGTAACTTGGATTTCCCATCAACCAGTATATGTTCATGACCTTACTTGATCAAAAACTGTTCTATGGGCTCGTATTTCTGTGTCGTCAAGTTCCAAGGGGACAGGAACCTAAGCCTGGTGAATAAACCAATACAGTGTGATCGGTGTGTGATTAACAGCCCTTCTTGTCCTCCTTGGATCGTTGAGCCATAGAGGATTCTTCTGAGCTGGTGCCCATCTGGCTGGATCATCATGTGGTTGTCTGACAGACTTCCAGTTGACAGACTTCCAGTTGTTACATATTCATTGGGGAATTATGTTTCATGGCTCAATATAAGTTGTGGTTAATAATTTTGGAGTGACTGAGAATAGCATACTCCTTTAATTTTGCATTTTCATTGTAGTGGCTGTCGCATCATGTGCGTTTGCCTCCTCGTCAGAGAACTCAAACAAATTTTCTCCTTAATATCAGCATCAGGTTTATGGGTCTCGTGTTTTGAAGATTTCGCATTAGCAAAATGATGGGAGGGTTATACACTTCAACTTTCCTGAAATAAGTTGATGTGTATTGATTACTGTTAAAAATATATTAAACTTTTGTCAAATTGCATTCAACCTGATTGCTGAAGAGCTTGGATTGTGTTTGGATTGGGCCTTGCACTTATCTGTGGACCATGCTGAGTTATATTATTCGGATACTATTTTTCTTAAGATTATTTAAACACATTGTTTCTGGTTTTCTCCTGTCCTGAATGTCCTCAGGGTACCTTGAATTTTATCCATTATCCTCATTGCTGTGTGATTGAATCTTCTTGAATCAGAAAAAATTCCTCTGCAATTTTTTTTCTATTGTTTTGTTTAAAATAATGATGAATATTTCATTTATAAACATGTGTATCATTTTGCATGGTTTCGATTAAGCAGCTTTTGACTCAATAATACATGCTTTAAGAATTGAGCCATTGGTGTGTTGAATGCACTTTGATGGTCGTGACTAGAGTGTGTATATTTTCTATCCTTTATCACGTGTCTGTTCCTTAATGCTTACCTTGATATTTTGGCCATGCCTTTGGAAAAGTTATTTGATGTGTTCTAACCTTGCCTTTCTATACTATTTCAATTGTATTACTGATCAAGCCTGACCTGTGCTAGTTACGGTTGGAAGTATTTTGTTGTTGCTGCTTATTCTGTGTATTGTGTAAACTACATTTTTAGTGTATGTCAACTTAGACTAAATGAATTTACCCTTACGGCCTGTGACAACGTGAGAAACAGAGGACATGCAGCTTGATGACTTGAGAAAATGGGGTAAAAAAATGAACCTGTGTTTCTTTGAAGACTTGGTAGAGCAACATTGCATTTCCTTACTCTCATGTCATTTTTTAACATCCAATATTGATGATTTGAACTTGGTTTATGGGTTTGACTCACAAATCATGTTAACTTGACAGCATAGTTTGAGATTTCAGTTGCTGTTGATATTGAATCTTGTTTTTCAGAAATTTGAGGATTGAAAGATGGTCCACATTAATAGTGTCATACGTAGGCTTTATTTTGAAGCCATTTCTCATTCTTACTGGTTCTGATTTTTTGCTTCCTTGCCTATAAAGAAATTGGTAAACCATGGAGTACCTTTACAGATTTCAACTTAAGTAATTCTGTATGATGTTTTAGTGTAAGTTTGGATGACAGCTGTTAACTAGTTATATTGATGCTAATATTTTTCGTTCCTTAACAGGTTACCCCCCGTTTGGAAGAGCTGCAAATGTTCAGGTTGCAGCAGGAGAACAAAAGTATTGGCACAATGGCAAATCAGAGAGAGACCTTATCAAAGAAAATTGCACGTGAAAAGAGAAAGCAGCGACCCAACATAGCTGATGAACAGCGAACAACAAAACGGAAAAAAGATATAGATCCAAACATAACGAAAGTACGTGGAGTGGATAAAGCTGAGGAGAAAAACTCTCTTCAAAAAAATAAAGATGAAAATGTCCAAGTCCATGAAGGCAAAACTAGTAATGCACATGGAAAAGGAAAAAAAGATTTTATCCCTGAAAAGCCCAAATACAATGACCAGTGCACTGCCTTTGTATCAAACCTTGGCCTTCAGGCAAGTTGTTTGCTGCCAATTCATCTTCTTTTGAGCCTCACTCTTATGCACCCACATGCACAAATGATCATGAGAATCAATTGTCGTTTATATCATAATTAATTCATCTAATGATAACTTGTACAGGCAACTTATGAGGATCTGCGAGCTTTTTTCAGTGATGTGGGTGGAGTAGTTGCTATTCGCATATTAAAGGACAAGTACACTGGAAAATCAAGGGTACAAGTTTCTCTCTCTCTCTCGCTCTCCATATACATCCAAAGGCCTTAATTTTATCCTCCTCTGCCCTATCCATGTGTTATGTGTATTCTCAAATGTTAAATGAGAGAACTGGCAATCTCCAAGTTCGCTATCAGTAGCAATTTGTTTTGGTGTTTCAAGTTGGTAGTTTCATATTCAAACGTTATAACTGAGATTTAGATTGGAGACAGGAGTCTTGACAAATATTTGTTGTGTGGGACATAACGAACATGCAATTTTGGTGAGGTTCTTCCATGGTCAAAATGCAGCAAAATGATGTCTGCTGACAAATGCAATTCAGTTTATGTTGTAGTTATAGTTGTGAGGTTCTAAAAGGAGCATACTTCATCCATGTTTTGTTATCTTGCATATCTTAATTTTGGTGGATCTGATTTTTGGACTCAAAATAAGATTTAACTTCCCAAATTATTTGCTGCAATGGCCTAGGCCCTAGAATGGACTAGGGCTTTGGGGATAGAATTGCAGGGAGAGGTTACAGTGGAGATGAGTCCATCTACAAGGTTGCATTGGCCTCGGCGCTAGATTGGTTACATAGCTGGTTCTCAGCTTAAAGCCCCCCTGTGCTTGGCACTTCTCTTCTGAAAGGCTAACTAAAAAAAAAGCTCTATTATCCTGTGTTCTGACTGGTTGGTGAACACACTACACATCAGGAACTCTGACCTAGTAGGAGTTACTAGTGTAACTGTTTTGGCACTTCAAATGTTCCTTTTATTTTGGCAGGTAACTGGTAATGTTCTCTAGTCTTTTCAGTGTCCTTTACTTGGGAGTTGTTGGGGGTTAGTTTAACGGCATGGAGGTTTCAAGTCGCTCCTTTTGAAGTCAATTAATTAAAAAACTGGAAATTTTAATTTTACTTCATAACTGTTTTTTCAAAGATGCATTTCTTTTCTTTTGTTTATGCTCATCCGCCTTCCTCTCCATTGTTATTTGTCTAAACTTTCTGTAAAGCACACATGAAGCATTTGTAGGCACTCCTTATCACCTTTGTTCTACACCCTCGTCTTGGTTTAATGCCTTTATTTGCTACTATTCTGTAAGTCCCGTCTCATACCCATCTCGTAGTACTGCTATCGTTCCACAAAGCATTAAATGCAAGCATTATCTTAGATGTGCAGCCTGGTTCTTTATGTTATCCTGGAAATCCTGCTCCACAAATGAATTAAACCAGGTTCATTTTGTTAGTTGGCATAGTTGATTTGAAGTTTTTAATTCCTTGTTTGGCCATGGGTGTGAAATGACATCCAATTTTGAGTTGGATGCTGGTTAATGAAATCCAGTGATATTGGTTATCCAGCAAAAGGTTTTATTTTTCATTTAATATTTTCCTTTGAGATATGGCATTAATTGTTATCATAGAGGGTTTAGTCTCTGCATGATTCATGTTTTGTATGTCTGAGTGAGCTGTAATATTGATGATTTTGTCAATTTTATAATACCACTGGTACTGTGGTCAGATCAGGTAATGAACTGTACAAATAGTAGTAATCCTTGTGATGAAAAAGGCAAAAAAAGGTCACCATACTCGTGTTTTGTGGCAAAGTTCTGAATTCCATGCATCTTTATGTGTATTAATTTTGAAGGAGTTGTAGTTTAATGCATTCAAATTAGTTCTAATCTTATTTTCTCAATTCTGTAGGGATTGGCTTATGTTGATTTCTCCGATGATGTACACCTTACTGCAGCTCTGGCAAAGAACAAGCAAATGTTTCTCAATAAGAAATTGAGTATTGCACGGTCAGATCCGAAGCAGCGGAGAATGAGAGAATCTGTTGGACGTAACACCCCAATGGAACATGGTATGCTTGTCTTTTTTTCTTCCTTTTATTTTCTTTTAATAAATGTTCTCTCCTCCACTCAGTGTTGCCATGTGCCTATGCACATTGCTTGCCAAACAATTGGGTTACGAAGAAATTTTTTAGCAGGGTTGAGGTATGTGTATATGGAAGATTGAAAACTATTTGCTGTATATGTTTTAAAAATTTAGGGGGTAAAAAAAAATGTAAAATGGGAATATTCAAAACAATCAAAATGAGAAAGAGCTATGATTATATGTAGCCAAAACCATTTCCCAACCTGCTCATGTCAAGTAGCAAGGCAATCTCATAATTCCAATCGTGTTCAGTCTCTCAATCCTTCAATTAGTGGATTTAGAATATAATATTGTGTGTAATACATGCCATTCTATGGGGTAGGCACCATATAATGAAGGTTTCCTAGACAAGAAGTTAGTTTATTTGGCTTCTTTATTAAGAAATCTGACTTAGATTTGAAATTGTTTAATTAATTTTCTGAAGTGCCTATTGGTGAAAGATAGTCCTAATATTACTCTATACTGTTGCACCTAACAAATTATGTTTTGTATTAAAGAAGTCCGTTAGATATGCTAATCATTGCAATTTATTATCAAGTTTAAAGTTCCAGAAAGCTTACTCATGTCTGTATTTGCTATCACATTGTCTTTCGTCTCCATTTTTTTGTAGTTTTTCTTGCAAAGGTTCTCCCTTTGGTCATATAAGCCAATGATGAATGTTTTATTCTCAAATTTAACAATTGAATTATAGGCATTGTTGAATCATGAGTGTTATCCTAAATCAAATCCTAAAATTTTATCGTATACCATATCAACATTTAAATATCTCAGCAAATTCAGAAACAAAGAAATGTAAGCAAAATATGAAATGACAGTCAAAGGTAACTGTAGATAATATAAAAAATGGTGAATGAGGAAAATAAAATAAATAAAAAGAGAAAAAAGTTAACTGTAGAAAAAGAAAAGAATTTAGAACAGAAAAGAAATAATTGGGAACATATACAAACTGCTGAGTTATGTGGTACCTTCATTTACATTTAATGGTTGATTGATTGATTTTGGGTTTTTAGATTTTTGCCTCCAGTAGCAAGTTTCTGTGTGCCTTCCAAATTTTTTGGAAAAAGAGTATAATAGTACAACCCCCTGGGCGCAACGCAGTTGGTTAGGAGGGGGGCCTCTATGGGCGTTGCCTTGGATCTACGGGAGGATGTGAGATTTTCTTGTACCAAAAAACAAAAAATGCTAGAATACATCTCTCTTAAAATTAGAGAGGACTAACATCTGAAAAGATTTTCATTAGAAATATCCGTAACATTTATTTTTCTTACAAATACCAAGAAACAACCAAAGTTTTTTTCTCCACGTATTTTGGTTTGATCATGAGATGTACTTTAGTTGGGATCATATCAGGTATACCTATCGATTACCTGTGAAGCATATGGTATATCATATTTACAGATGCTGACTAGTGACTAATACCATTGGAAGTTAAATTCATAATTGTGTTCATTGGTCCTGTCATTCATAACGGAGTCTTCTTTTCTTGTTCAACTGTAAAATGTTATTTCATTTTGGGTGTTTTCTGCTTTTCTTTGTTATGGTGGTTCATCTTGCCCTTTCAACCACACTTTTAATTCTTCTTCGCTTTGGAAGGTGAAATGTCGGGGCATACAAATGGACAAACAAATACAGTTGGCGAATCTGATTCTAAGGATTCATCTGATGTATCTAATGCGACCTTGGCGGCTCAGCCACAGTCGGCTTATCGTCGGCATGCAGTTGAAAATGTCCAGCTCAAGGGGAAGAACACATTTGCAGTGCCAAGAAATGTCAGACCCCTTGGTTGGACTGACAAGAATAAACAAAAAACCGAAGAAGCTCCGGAAGGGGAAGACCAGACGCCAAAATCCAATGATGAGTTCAGAAAGATGTTCCTCAAAAGTTAATACTGTTAAGAAAGACTATACTATATATGCCTCCCACACAAGGCTTGTATAGAGTTTCCCAACTGTAAGTTTGCAGATGTCTTACATGCATATACAGTAATTGCAAATGATAGCAGAATACTTTTATCGTGTTGAAAATTTTATTTAATTTTCCCATATCATTTAATCCAATTTGTTGTCACTGATTACTTCAACGATTAGATTTAGAAGTCTCTGAATCCATCCTTTCAGATTAGTTGTAGATATCGGGGATGATAGAGTCGGGGGTGCCTAGGACAAGGTGATCTGGGAGGATGGTAGGCAAAGGGGACTATCAGAGGCAGCGGAGAAAGCCAAAGGCAGTCTTTCCGATATAGAGAAGATAGCAGTTGAAAGGTCTAGGAGACTAGCTGATCCCAAGGTTTGATCGATGTCACTTTGATAATTTTGGAAAGGTCCATGGTGATAACCATTTTGGAGATTAGGCAATCGCTTGCTTGGGGAGATTTTGGCCGAGCCGAGTGAGGCAATCTTGATTTTTAGTCTTGGGCGTTTTACATGTGGGTATATTTGGAGAGATGTAGGGATGCAAGAAAAATTGATAAAACCAAGCCAACCGATCGCAATTGACCAAAATTTTAATTTTCGGTCTGTTTTTTATAACATACAGTTTGTTTCGATTTTGAAACTTTTTATAAAATGTAAACCGAATTAATCGAATATTATATTTAAATATTTTTATATTATAATTTCTTGAACATTATATGAGAAGTAACTAAGAAAATATACTTTTTTGATAAAAATTAGGGAGAAAAATATTTATAGAGCACTTTTTATTTATTTTCAATGTAAAATTCTATAATATACTATAAATTTTTTTAAAACTTAATGTAAATTTTTCTTCTACATCAAATTGACAAAATTGATAAAATTGAACCGCAGCATATGGTTTGTATTAGTTTCTCAATCATAAAAATTGAAACGATCGGTTCAATACTAATATGCTCTTAATACGGATTGAATCGAATCGTTTATACTCTTAGCTGTTATTGACCTAAATGTTACCTAATGATATTGACACAACATGAGATATCAATAAGAGATATTGATGTGGAGATGATGTGGCCGTCCATGTAGGAAAAGTGAATGTTATTATCCACAGATGTCAAGATTTTGTTAGGTTAACTATATTGATCAGTAGTCATGCTGCCTTTCGTGATATATTTGTCGGCATTTTATGTGAAATATGAACCGACTTGTGAAAGCATCACTGAACATCATTCTGCACCCTCTTTTTCGTTGAGAGCTGGAAGTTGCATATCAATTTATCCAGAATGGTTGGAATATACACAGGCTTTGTTGAGTAACTGAGCAATTAGAAGTTGTGACCTTTTATGTGATTTTCTAGGTACCATTGAAAAGTTATCCAGAATTTAAAAGTGAATTTTATGATATAGATTTAAAATGAGTGCCTTGTTAAATACAAAATGAATGTTGTTTATATATTTGAATTCTAGGTAAAATTATGGGTAATTTTTTCCTGGTATGTGACGAGTTGATGATGGAAATATCAACAGAAGTTGAAGGTACAAGAGGCTCGAATTTCAGGCAGGCCAATTCCTGAAATCACAGCACAGGCCCAGCCCATGTCACTAGGGGCGATTTGGGCCAAAGCCCGGGCTTAGGCCTTGTCAGGCCAATTTCCTACACCCCTGGTCGTGTCAAGCCTTCATAGGCCTTGGCCAGGACTTAGGCCTCCATCAATAAGGAGTGAGGGGTTGGGAGAAAACACTGCTAAATGCAGTAACAAAAATGCCTTCAACCCCAGCTGGGGTGACTCCACCATTCTCACTGTTTTTTGATTGGTTCAAATTATTTTTTATTTTTTTTTTAAGTCTTGTTCTCACAGACCCTTACGTGGAGGTGGGGGTGCTGGGTTCAACCCCGCACTGGGGTCCCCAGCACTGTTGAAATAGACACATTGTATCAATTCAATCTTCAACACATAATTATATTACTGAGAAAAATTTACAACATACTCATGCAAGTGAAGTGAAGAGATGTTATATATAGGTGGTGTTTGGCGAGGGCTATTTTAGCCTGTTTTAGGCTAAAATATAAAATAAGATAAAATAGTTAATAAGATAAAATGTTATATCAAATCCATAAATATTTTATTTTTTCTCAAAAATTCAATCATCTTCGTAAATATAAAAATTTTAATCTATTAAAATAATCAAAAATTAAAATAACTTACTAAGGAGTTTTTTGAAAAGTTGATAAAAAGTTAACTTTCAGCTTTTTATTCATTTTGAGTCACATCACCTCTCACATAATTTACTCACAAAAAAATAAAATAAATTTAAAAAATTAACTTTTTACTAATTTTACAAAATACCCCTAAAATAATAACTTTCAAACACCCATGTCAAAACGAAAACGAAGTGCAGAGAGAGAGAGAGCGCAGAAAATGCAGCTCCAACTGCATTGGGTTTTCTTACACGGTACAACCATTTGACGTTTATTGCTATATATATTATGTAAACATGTATAAGCATGACCTCATAAAATTGAAAATAATTTGAAAATAGAAAAGAAGAAAATTCAGCCATATGTCACACAGCACAGCACCGTCGTCAAAAGTGGGGTTTCTTGACCTATGAAATCGTAGTATACACAGGTGTCTCAGCTGTATTACGTTTGGCAGATTAAGTTAGGTGCAATTATTAGTAAAAGGAGGATTAGTAAAGAGATTATTAGTGAGGAAATTAAGTAAAAGTATATTTGTTTCGATGATAGTGTAGAACATAATTAGTAATTGGGTTGTTAAATTATTTTTATATAAAATAAATAAATAAATATTTTTTCTATTAAAAAAAAAACTAAAGCAAAAAAAAACAGGTGCACTTGATAAGAGACTCAATTCGCACAATATTTTTCTAATTTCATCTGAAACCCAACCAAGCTAATTCTCCTATTAAGGGGGATTATTAAGCCCCTCCCAATATCAATCTCTCCCTCCCAAATCATCATCAAACACGCTGTGGGTGGGACCCACAACCATAACGATCCAATCCGACCATCCACGTTGATAAACAAACATGACCAGAAAGTGTTTGTTTGATGCAGTTTATTATAAGTTAAAAATTAATAATTAAAAAATATTTCTCCTCTATCTCTTAGAAAATCAATTTTTTTAATTTTTTTTATCTTATTTAAACTATTTCTCTTTAATAAACTATAAATAGAAGTTCTAACAAACTTTTTGTAAAGATTCAAAAAAAAAAAAAAATTTTTTTATAAACAAATCAAATAAATTATATCAAACAACCTCACAAGATATATATGAGCAACAAGAAAGGAAGATGAGCATCTCCAACACTTTTTTTCAATCGACCATCATCTAATAGTTGATCTAAAAGTCATAGTTAGTGATAATGACTAAGACTAGGAGAGGATGATGATCATGTTTACACTTTTTTTAGCCAACCATCATTTAACAGTTAATCCAAAAATCACAACTAATAATATAATGACAAGGCTAAGAGAGGAAGATGATTCTCTTAACATGTTTTTCATCCATAGTTGATACAAAATACCATTTACTAATTGTGGGCTTGGAATCAATTATTGGAGAAACTATATAAAAGAAGCTGTGAAGGGGGAGTGGGTGGGACCCTCACCAAACAAGGGGCAAAAGCCACGCAAAAATAGGTTATGTGAAAAAAAACAAAAACAAAAACAAAAACAAAAACAAGAAAGAAGGCTGTCATGCGAGGCAAAGCAAAGCATATTATTAGCATGCGCCTCCCTCTCTTTCTCTCTCTTTCTTTTACTGTCTCTCAAAACATCACTTTTCTAACAAAACTCTATAACATCTCTCATTTCCTTGGATCACACAAGTAACATTTCTTCCTTTATTTCTTTCTTCAACCCAACTTTAATACAAACAAACACCTATTTACATTTCCCCCTCCTATTTAATGCCACATTCCTCCTATTAATCCCACATTAGTTGTGTATTAGTTGTGTTTGGTTAGAAAATTTAAAAAGAAATTAAGAAAGAAAAAATAAAAAGATAGGTGAAATATAAATAAAATATACATCAATTTTATTTAATTTTACACATCTCTTTCTATTCCTTTTCTAAATCTCTTTCTAAATTCTCTAACCAAACACAATATCTCTCTCATTATTATTGTTATGTATTATCAGGGTATTTTATATAATATGGTAAATTTTATTATTTTGCAAATGAAGATTATTTTGCAAACTTATGCGACATGATAAGTTTTATTATTTTTAAATATGATGAGTTTTGTGTATGTATACACAAATTTTTTTTATTACGTGAATGGAAGTGGTATAAAATAATAAAATAAATCTGATAATAAATAATATCTTTTATTTTAAAGGGTAAATTATGTAAATAATTCTTGTAGTTTACATGATGTGTCAATTTGGTTTATGTAATTTTAATTTGCTCGATTTTGTCTCTTAATTTAACGGATTGTGTCATTTTAGTCCAATAAATAACAGTTGTTCAGTTAATTTAACATAAGGTCAAATAATGTGTCAATTTAGTCATTGTACTTTACACGATGTGTCAATTTGGTTCCTGTAGTTTCAATTTTCTCGATTTTGATAAGGACTAAATTGACACATTGTGAAAAATTCAGGGACCAAATTGACACATTGTTTGACTTTCCGTTACATTAAATTAACTTAACAACCGTTATTTATTGGACTAAAATGACACAATCAGTTAAATTAAGGGACAAAATCGAGCAAATTGAAACTATAAGGACCAAATTGACACATCGTGTAAACTACAGAGACTATTTACATAATTTTTCATATTTTAAATATAGTAATCTCACACATACACATAATTTTTATAGTATAAATACATGTAAAAAATGAAATAAGATCATAAAATAAATACTGTGATAAATAGGTTATCTCTGACAAACAATGCTACAGACCACTAAAAGTGGTACTCTAAAATAATCACTAATGATGTGGCATTCACTTTTTTCAAAAAAAAAAAAAAAAACAGACACAACAACATTGTGGCATGGGTGAGACCACTACCACATCATTAGTGGTGGCAGTAATTAATACTCCCACTCATTTTCCTATCTCTTAACATAGCTATGTCAAGAAAATAATAAATAAAAACAAAAAAACCACACGACAACT